CTTTCCGCTCCGTTCCCCGCTTCCAAGCTCGGCCGCGCTTTCTGCTTCTTCTGGGTGAGAAGGCCGAGGCGCCGTGCCCGGGGACAGCAGGATTCCTCCTGGACGCCGACCCCGCTGCCGACCCCGCTGGCAGATACTGGTGACCCAATAAAGCAACTCCCAACCAATGCTCCCTCTAAGCTGTGGAGTCTTGTGAGCAAAAATTCCATTTTGTGAGCTACCGGCATTAAAGTTGTGAGCGAGCGATTTGGCTGCTGCATAAATTAGTTTGCTCTGGAGCCCTCCTTCCTGAGCTAGGACAAAAGTCTGTGAGCCGGAGGCTAAAAGACTGTGAGCTGGCTCACACTAACTCAGCTTAGAGGGAACACTGCTCCCAACATAACCACTAGTGAGCATTGCTCCGTCTGTCTCAGCATGGCTTACTGCTTTGGCTTTGCCTGCTTCGAATCAGCCTCCAAGAGGGACAGAGATGTGCACCCTGGATGGAACTGGATCCCCCAGCAACAAACGATCTGACCTTCCAGGAGGCTGCCTGCAGTGTCTCTGTAACAAGCCGCTATCCCAGCAGGCACAGAATCATAGAATCACAGAGTGGGAAGGGGCCAGACAGGCCATCTAGTCCAGCCCCCTGCTCAACGCAGGATCAGCCCAGAGCACCCCTGAGAAGGGTTTGTCCAGCCGCCGCTTCAGGACTGCCGGTGAGGGGGAGCTCACCACCTCCCTAGGCGGCTGATTCCACAACTTCTGAACCACTCTTACTGTCAAAACGTTTTCCCTAATAGCCAGCCGGAACCTCCCCGCCCTTAATTTAAACCCATCATTGCGAGAGTCGATTTGGTGAAGTGGTGAGGAGCAATGCTCCCTCTAAGCTGTGGAGTCCTGTGAGCAAAAATTCTACTTTGTGAGCTCTTGGAATTAAATTTGTGAGCAAATGATTGGGCTAGTGCATAAATTAGTTTGCTCCGGAGCCCTCCTTCCTGAGCTAAGATGAAAATGTGTGAGCTGGAGGCTAAAAAACTGTGAGCTAGCTCACACTAACTCATCTTAGAGGGAACACTGGTGAGGAGCGTGGACTGTAACCTTGGAGAACTGGGTTTGAACCACATGCAGCTGCTGGTGTGACCTTGGGTCAGTCATAAGTTCTCTCAGAGCTGTTCTCTCAGGAGCAGTCCTCGAAAGAGCTCTCTCAGCCCCACCTCCCTCACCCTGCCTGTTGTGGGGAGGGGAAGGGAAAGGAGATTGTAAGCCGCTCTGAGACGCCTTTGGGTAGTGAAGGGCGGGGTACGAATCCAATCTCCTCTTCTTCTCTTCTATCCTCTGCTACCCACAGGAACAGCTCCCTGCCCTCCTCCGACAGCCCTTCAGATACTTCAAGAGAGCAAACCTGTCCAATGCTCCCTCTAAGCTGTGGAGTCTGAGCAAAAATTCTACTTTGTGATTAAAGCCCTATATCAGGGGTATCGAACTCATTTGTTATGAGGGC